TTATAGGTTAGTTTGTGATTTGGATTTGTATACGTTTGATTCTATTTGATCTTGCTGTAATTCGATATGATTCTATATTAATGTATAAATATTTGTTATGAAATTAGTTAAGGCTTTCTTTGTAAATTTCATCCAAAATGTGTTTGTTAGTCCTAAAACATGCACTTTTATTTCTTAATCATTTATATAGTAGATGTTTTGGAGTAATAAAGCAAGTGATTTGGGTGTTTTCTTCAATGATTCAAACATTACATGTTTTAGCTTTTGGGCCACACGTTTATTCTAATTTGGACTTGGGCCTGTAGCGGGTTTGGACTGTGCAAAAAAAAAGCCTTTTTCGTCTACTTTTCTTTTAATTAATAAAATCAAACAATTAAGTTAAGTTTAATATATAATATTTAATTATAATAATAAATATCAGTATAATTAATCATTATAAAATAATAGTAATGTTAATAATAATAATGATGTTATAATTAATAATAAAATAATATTTCAAAACAGACCAAAAAGCTGAACGACCATACTGTTTTAAATTATTGGGCCTAAAAGAATAAAATGCTTATGGGCCTCTTAAAACATACCCCCTCTTCTTCTATTTAAAACAGACCATAATACTAATGTCAGGCCGACTCATTTAATCCACAAACTCTCTCATATATTCAGTATACCTCCCCTCTTATAGAATTTATAATTGGCAAAAACTTTGCATGGGCCTTTCTGATTTAGAAAGGCCCAAACATTCCTAATGTAGCGCAAACCCCCCTTTCAATATTTAAAATGGGTTAAAATTTCACATGGGCCATTTCTGATTTATAAAGGCCCACAGTTTTTAAAAATAGTGTAAACCTCTTTGCAAATTAAAATGAGAGTGAATATCAAAGAGTCTTAATTTAAAAACGTAATGGGCTTAAAATTTTACATGGACTTTTATGATTTAGAAAAACCCATTAAACCCCCTTTCAAGAACTAAACCCCGTGAATTTGAATAATATACAAAGCAAAGAATTATTTTTTAAAAAAAATAAAAAGATTTGGAATCGGTAGAGCAAATTTGGGATATGACACTTTGGTTTTTTTGACTTGATCATTCCTTCATGAGTCATTTTAAGAGAGTCAAATATAGACTTAGCAAAGTCTCTATTTGTGACTTTCACATACTCGGTATAATAAATCGCATTTAGCAAGATGGTTCTTGCTTTATGATGATTCTTATAATCCTTCTTTTTTTGATCAGTCATAGCTCTCCTAGATATCTCTTTTCCAGTAGCATCTGTTGGAGGTATGTAGCCATCGACTACCATATCCCAAAGATCAACAACATGACCTAGAATGAAACTTTCTAGTCTATCTTTCCAGTATTCAAACTTTTCACAATCAAAGATGAGAGGTTTTACATTGTAGCTTTTATCTTTTGAGTCTGAAGCAGCGTTAGTTGTTATGGGTTCAACCATTGTGTTTCTTCAAAGAAAAACTCATCTAGATCTTTATTTGACACAGTTAAGTGTTTGATAACTATCAATACCAGAACCAGAACTCTGATGCCAATTGAAGGTGTGAGAAAAATAAGAAAGGGGGATTTGAATTGGGTTTCACCAAATATAATATTAAATCTTTTCATTGATGAGTGACAGAGTTAACCTAGAACATAAAAATAAATGAACACCATTATTTTTATCCTGATTCACTATTAACTAAGATACTCCAGTCCACCCCCCAAAGTGATTTGCCTTTAACAAGGACTTAATCCACTATAACCAAATTGATTACAAACAATCCACAATTAGTCAGATCAACCTTATTGGGATCCCCAATAAGTCTGTCGATCCTTATTGCAAATCTACTCAAGCCACAACATGAGTCTTCTTAAGATCATACCTTCACTCGATCACTCAAGGAATCAATCGACAATCGTTGAGTACTTTTAGTGTATTACAACTTGCTTCTTTTAAGTAGATTACGCAAATGTTTTAGTATAAAAAAAACACCTAAGTGTTTTATAGTGAGATACAAGCAACAACTCCTTTCCTATTTACAAATTATACAAAAAATATTTCTCTAAAGAGTTTCACAACGCTTTGGTGTAGTTTTGCTTGAGCTTGATTTAATATGATAGATTTTTGTGATGTTTATTCTTATATTTCTTCAGCTTCCAAGTCTCCCTTTTATAGCTTATAAAAGAGATCCGTTGAAGGGGTAGAAAGGTAATCGAAAATCCAGTTGTTCGTTCCCAACAGTCATAATGAGAGTAGTACACAATATAGTACCAAAGGAATATCCTTACGCCACCCTAGAGAGTATAGGTCATAGACATTTTTTATACCTTTTGTACACCATCACACGCTAACCATTTTGAAATTCTTCTACTTTTCAAAGGCTGCAAATAATTTGAATGTTTGAAGCTTGTTGTAGAAGAATTACTCTTAAGTCTTAGAACCTAAGTCTTGGAGTCTTCAGAACTCGAGGGATCAAAACCTTGTCTTCAAAGTCTTCAGCACTTGGTCGTAAAAACTTACTTTTCTTCAGATCATCAGAACTTGTTCAGAAGAACCTCGTCTTTATAATATTCAAAACTTGGAACACACAGAAGCAAAGCTTTAGAAGGCCTCCAAAGCTTAACCACTATGTCACGATCAGAATCTCTTGTACTAATGTTCCTAAGAATTGTTGCATAAGACGAATTCCAGAATATTGACTTTAACTGTAACACGTGACCACGTGTTTTCTTCCAGTAGTGTTTATATTCAGAACCTGATGACGTCACACACCTTGATACCAGAGTTAGAATATTACAACATCAGCTACACACTAGAACAAAACCATTAGAGTATACAATTATTCTCTATGATATCGCATAAAGTTATCATCAAAATCTTAAGGCCAAATGTAGAAACACTTCTTGTTCTTACAATCTCCCTCTTTTTGATGATGACAAAACCATGTATTTTGATAGAACAATTTTATATAGGGTAATCAATGTAACTGACAAATTCAGAGTTAAGCTCACAACTCCCAATGAATCTGTTAATCCCAAAATTTCATTTATGCTTGTTCAGAGTCTCCCCCTGAGCCCAAGACTCACAAAATAAATTTTGAGTTTTCAGAACATAGAAATAGAGAAGGAATACTTCCTTACAATAACTCATCAGAGTCTGACTAGAACATATTGTCTTCATCTCAGAACCTGGTTACTGTCTGCACTTGATGAAGAATCAAAACTTGACTTTGAGCTTGATTGAACAATGTCACGCATTATGTATCATCACTTCTATTTCTTGATTCTAATATCACAACCAAAATACTATACTTCTGGAGAGGTTCACTACTTCTTAAGCATCAGCGTTTGACATGATATTTTCCAATATATCACACATTCAGACAACTCACAACTTCTGAATAGAACATACGTTGCAGAAGCACACGTTGTAGAAGCACACGTATCAGAGCATATCTTGTGAGTGACATCTCTGTATCAAAGCATGCATAAGAGTGTTGTCTTGACTTTCTTTCAGGAGAGCACCACTTCTGAAGCTTTAAGTTTGAATTCCATATTTTCAGAAAGTTCACAACTTTTGAACACTATGATATAAAGCAAGATTACCTTATTTTCATTAAGTTTATAACTTTTGAGTTGTGTTTGGTACATCTGTTTGAATATTCATATATTCACAAAGTGTACAACTTCTTGTATATGAAAACAAAGTTGATTTCATCCATAAAGTTCTCAACTTTAGACATTATGATCTTCATATTCAACCTGTCTTAGAATATTCAATGAACTTATTCAAAGTTATGGATTGAAACATCAAACAAACAGTTAGTAGCAACAATATTATATATGTTTGAGTTTAGGATTCTGAGAATAAATATTATCAAAATCATTTTACTTTCTCTTTGTTAGAAATCAAAAAGATGATAAGGAGATAAAGAAATAAGCTATAACACATAACAGATCTATAAGAGAGAATTGTTTGGATGAAATTCACACAATTAAAGTTTCTTAATTCTTTGAATTTTTCATGAATGTTTATTTTAAAGTGATACTTATAAATTTAAATGAGAAACTTTGGCAAAACAAGACTCTTGTCTAGTGGTGATGGATTTGGACATTGGTGAGAGTTTTACGGGTTCAAGATCTATCGAGTAAACCGTATTGATATTTTTATATTTTTAAAGTTTCAATGTTTAAAAAAAAAATCACATGAAATTAAAAATAATTGATAAATAATAATAATAAGTTCTCGTCAATATACTAGCATTGAGAAAAATAGGAAAAAAATTATTCGAGAAATTTTTTAGTAGTTAAATACTGAGTCGAACAAAGTTACATCATAATATATGTTTTATGGTTTAATCTGTCATTTATAAAGGTTTAAGACCCGCTTACATCTAAATCTCTTTTAAAATTTAATTTAAATTTAAAAATTCTCGATTAAAGTTATTTTTATTATTTCAAAAATATTTAATATGAATTATTTTTTGACATAAATTTAATATTTCATAAATTTTTCTTAAAATAAAATAAAATATTATTAAATACAGAGATATCTTAAACTTTTGAAAAATTTCGTGTATGAAAATGAAATACTAATAAATTTTAATTGAGTTATGAATTTTCTTAAGATGACTTATTTAACTGTGAAATTGTGCATTGAGGCCTTTTTAATTATAGTTTAATATTGAAAAAAATTGAAAGTCTTGTGTTGTAGGTCAGTTTGCACGATCTCAAATACGGTCGTGATTTAATATATATATATATATATATATATATATATATATATATATATATATATATATATATATATATATATATATATATATAGAAAAGAAAACTATTAAATTTTATAATCATACAATATATAATTCACTTGAAATAATAAAACCATCGACATCAAATTAAAAAGAATTTCGATGCAAAACACATCGATATACATGGACATACATTATTGGTGACTAATATAATAAGAATTGTCCATATTATTTGACAATGGTACATTATGTTAACACACAGGGCCAGTAGGGACCTTACGTCCACATACATTGAGTAAAACTTTAATGGGAACATTAATGTCTATTCCTAAAATATTACCTTTGATAGCTGCGCAAAGACATGCATGGGCTTCAACATCGATGAGTCCAGCTATGAAGGGGCAACATGGCTTGCATTGTGGAGGACCAATTATAATAGACACCAAATCTTTCAACACATTGACACAAACACGCAAATCAGGACAACTCTTTGACGTTGGAACTTGGGCAGAGCTAAGACTAGCAGTGAATAGGATGTTTAGGAAAAATATGACAATAATAATGGATGCAACACTCTTTGAACCCATTTTGAAATCAAATATTTTTATAAGCTTTTTGAGTTCTTTTGAAGTGTTGAATTTGATTCTTGTAGTTTCAATGAAGGTTGAAGAACATTATTTATAGGCAAAGTAAAAGGGATTTTGAAGTTATTTTTAAATTATATTTTTTTATTAGTCATTTTATTACTTTTTTTCATAGCTTGTAAGTTCATTATACATAGTATTTAAAATATTGTATGTTATAGTAATTTATTTACACAACTGTTTAGCAATAATAAGTCAAAAAAATTATATTTGAGAAAATTAGTCATTTTATTACTTTTTTTCATAGCTTGTAAGTTCATTATACATAGTATTTAAAATAATGTATGTTATAGTTATTTATTTACACAACTGTTTAGCAATGTAATAAGTAAAAAAAAAAATTAAATTTATATTTGAGTTAATATTCTAAAGGACAAAACTTAAAGTACGGTTGTTAGGTGTGGTTCTTATTATTATTTTTAATTAAAGTTTAATAAATATATTTAAATATTTTTAAAAAATGAAAATAGAAACAATTTATATATGTGAAAAAAAATTATATACGTTTCATATTTTTATTACAAAATTATAAATACTACATCTAAAAAATTTACTTAAGTTTTGTTAAAAAATATTGTGATATGTGGCATGTTTAGAAACTTGTCACCTACTCTTATTCAATTTCATAAGATATATATCAGTAAATTTAATATCCAACAATGAGACAACTTCTAGAAAAATTGTAGTTATAAATAACAAAAACAAGTTTATACAAAAAAACTACTAATACTCTATATTTTATTTGTATAATTCTGGTTTTCTTATTTTATATTATTCTTTTAAATATTCTAAGTATTTTATATCTTTTGAGAAAAATAATACTATTTAAAATTCGACCGCTTTTGGTTTTTTTACACATTTTTCACTCAAAATTAATGACATGTCTATTTTTAATGACTTCTAAATGAAGCTCTTTTTATCTTTAAATATCTGCAACAAATTTTTTTGGGTCCCATTTTCAATTTTTTATTCTACAAATTTACGAAATGTTAATGTTTTTAATGACATATAATTTATATATTTTGACTTTAAAAATTCATAAAAATATTTATATAATAATCTTAAATTATATAAAAAGAATCATTTAAATAAGAAAGATAAAAAAAAATATTTGTTATTATTTTAGAAGATAATTTTAAATTTATTTTAAATTTAATTTCTTTTTTAATAGAAATTATGGAATAATAATAATAATAATAATGAATGATTGAGATTTAATTCTTATCTTTCTTATTTTCATATTTTCTTACTAATACATATTTTTCATCAAAAAAATAAAAAATAAAATTAAAACTATTCAAAATATAATTTATTTCATAAATAATATACTGACAATGTAAAACAGTTTTATATTATTAATTAATTGTAATCGTCAGATTTTTATCACTATTTAACTTTTTTATTTTAATTAACTTTAAAATATTAAATATGAGCGGTTGTGATACACTGTATATTTAAAAAAATTTACATAGACAATACATTTACACTAAATTGTCTATTTTAATTATTAAATTTAATTAATATTTAAGATTTATTAATTCTATATAATAAATATATTATTGAACTTTTTCTATTATGATTAGTATTTAAACATTTCATACAGAAAAAAATATTAACGAAAATACTTTTATACTTGCTATAAATGTTTTCTATAAATATGTGTTACTAGTGAATATTTTTCTCCTGCTATAATTATTTATTTGAAAATTTAGAAGTTTTTTATTTTTGCACGTTCTACTATATTGTGATCATTTTAAATAAAATATATTATTGATTTATCTTATATATTATTATTTGACTAAAAATATTGAGTAACGTAATATTACTACCTATATATTAATTTAGTTGCTTTATCTATTTACATGTTCCGAAATTTTAGTTTTTGCAAATTCTACTGTTGTAACAATTTTAAATGAAAATACATTATTGATTTATCTATTGTAACAAGTTCTACAATTGTAACAATTTTAAAGAAAAATACATTAAAGTATAGAAATTAATCCGATAATTTCACACTTTTCAATATTTTGAAATAAAATTAAAATATAAGCGATAAATCTATAATTGTTAAACTTTCAAATAATAACAATTTCACGTTATTCAATATTTTTTTTAAATAAAAATTTCAGTGATGAATCAATACATTTATTAACTTTCAAATAAATAATATTTTTACTCTCTTCAATATTTTTGGTCAAATAAATTATATATATATATATATATATATATATATATATATATATATATATATATATATATATATATATATATATATATATATATATATATATATATATATATATATATATATATATATAAAGAACATCAATTAGTTAATCTTTCTGATGCATGTCAGGAGAGAACACAAACACAATGAGATTATGGTATTTCAGGTGTTTTTAGAGGAATGCAAGGAGTGACAATCATTATTGGGTTGATCTAGTTCTCCTTATTATTATTTCTTTTTATGTTATTCATGCACTCCCCCTTAGAATATCCTCGACCCCTTTTTTTATCGCATGGGTATGCTTTAATGGTCATAAGGAATGTAACTTACCCTTTTAACTATTTGTAACGGACATATTAAAGTTCTGTAACAATTTAAACCATAATATTGTAACCTCTATCTGACATTTGGGCTACCTCATCAGTGTTGCGGTAGGCTATTAACCCGATTAATCGACATCTATCAAAGGTCGGCCTATGTGTTCTGATCAAGATCCAATACGAACATATCATCCAACACTAAAGATAGATTGTTAGAACATAGTTTGATTCTACAACCCTCATAAGAGTTTTGATGATAACAAACACAAAGAACAAATATGCACTCTAAATTTGTGTTCTATTGTGTACAGAAGTTCTGACAGAAGTGGATCAGAAGTTAAGCTACAAAAGTGCTCAAGCTGAGTAAGCAGACTGACATCAGAATGTTCTGAAGAATGAAGATCAAAATTTGTGCTAAAGAGAAAGACATCTTGATTCTGAACGGAAGTCTAACGTGCAAACAAAACCTTATGATTATGACTTCCCAAGTTCTGAAGCAAAGCAGCAAGCAAGATTCCTTAAGTTCTGAAGCGTTACTTTTCCATCAAAGCAGTATCAATTACAACGGCTACAATCAGACAAGGATCTTCTTATTATGGAAAGTGAATTAAGTGCTAATTATCATGTTTCCATTTGGACAGATTTCCACGCATATTTAAACAAGTTCTAAGGCTAAATCGTTCACGATTTTACACAACTGCTTCATACAATCTCTCAACGCTGCAAAATTATATTCATACTATTCTCAAAAATCGTGTAATACATCACAAGTTTGTGATACAGTTTTTGTAACGAAAAACATATACTACACAGTGAATTCTTATTTTTGATAGTGAAATTTCCTTGAGATAAATCGGGTTGCGGTTGTACTCAAGAAGACTTTGGAAGTTGTCAAAGTAGAATTGTAATCAGTTTGATTAGTGAATTAAGTCCTCGTTGGAGCAAGGCAAAATCACCTTGGCAGGTGGACTGGAGTAGTTTGAGATCAAGCGAACCTGGATAAAAATCATCGTGTCAATTGCTTTTGATTTTTAAGTTTCAATTCAACCCCCTTCTTGTGTTTTTCACTTCTTCAATTGGCACTAGAGCGCCTGGTTTTGAGTTCATGCATTTAACCGTGTCAGTACAAGATCCAAGCTTAAGAAAAACACTATGGTGGGACCAAGTCAGAACATCAACAATGACTATCATGATGATAAGGACAGAATCAACGGCAAACCTCCAGTCTTTGATAGAGAAAATTTTGACTACTGGAAAGACAAAATTGAGAGCTTCTTTCTGGCTCATGATGTTGATTTATGGGATATGATAATTGATAGATACATGCATCTTGTGGATGAAAGTGGTCACAAGATTGATAGAAAAAAAATGTCTGACCAACAAAAGCGTGACTTCAGAAACCATCACAAGGCCAAAACGATTCTTCTCAGTGCCATCTCATATTCAGAATATGAGAAGATCTCAAACAGAGAGATAGCTAAAAACATGTTTGACTCTCTGAGAATGACGCATGAAGGCAACATACAAGTTAAAGAAACCAAGGCCCTTGTGCTCATTTAGAAATATGAATCCTTCAAGATGGAAGAAAGTGAATCCATTAAAGCAATGTTCTCAAGATTCCAGATTCTAGTTTCTAGGATGAGAGTTCTTGATAAAGGGTATTCAACTGCTGATCACATAAAGATGATCATCAGAAGTTTATCGAAGCAATGGAGGCCAATGGTCATTGCTCTTAATCTGGCAAAAGATCTCAACAAGATATCTCTGGAGGAACTTGTCAGCTCACTCAGAAGTCATGAGATAGAGCTAGAAGATGGCGAGTCTCAGAAGCAAGGTAAGCCTTTAGCGTTAAAATCTAACAAAAAATTTGATTCTAAAGTTTTGAAGGCTATGGAAGAAACCTCTGAGGGATCTCATCAGAAGAAGATGAATTGTCTCTTCTCTCTAGAAGAGTCAATCAGCTGTGGAAGTAGAGACAAAGAAAATTCAGAAACTCCAGAAGAACAGGGAATCATAATGAATCACCCTCTGGATACAGAAAGTCTGAATCCTCCTCTGGATACAGAAAGTCTGAACCCTCCTATGGACACAGAAAGTATGAGTCTTCTTCTGGTCACAGAAAGTCAATCAACAGGGACATCATCTTCTATGAGTGCAATGAACAAGGGCACTATAAAAGTGATTGTCCAAGGCTTCAGAAGGAGAAACCCAAAAAGAAGTTCTTCAAGGAGAAGAGAAAAGTCTCATGGAAACATGGGATGATTCAGATACTTCTGACGCAGACACAGAGTCAGATGATGAAAGAGACAACATTGCTCTTATGGAAAATGTGACAGAAGACAGTGAAGCATCTGGGTCAGAATCAGAATCATACACAAAAGAGATATTTCCTGACT